CAGTGCACTGTGATACGTACTACAACACACATCAGTATCACTGTATTCAGTGCACTGTGATACGTACTACAACACACATCAGTATCACTGTATTCAGTGCACTGTGATACGTACTACAATACACATCAGTATCACTGTATTCAGTGTACTGTGATACGTACTACAATACACATCAGTATCACTGTATTCAGTGTACTGTGATACGTACTACAATACACATCAGTATCACTGTCTTCAGTGCACTGTGATACGTACTACAATACACATCAGTATCACTGTATTCAGTGCACTGTGATACGTACTACAATACACATCAGTATCACTGTATTCAGTGTACTGTGATACGTACATATCATACTAGTAAAGAACCATTAACACATAATCCTAAGTGTTACCTGATCTTTTAACAAAGGTTTTACCAAATCTAATAAATTTCCACTTACCAACTGATCAGCTAAGAGAAGTACTGTTTTCAAACTAAATTTGCGGTTACAGAAATTAAAGAGGTCTTCCAAACTTGGCCCTAGTAGTTCCATCACCATGACATTGTAATCACCTTCTGAACCACACCATTTAATGATGGGAATTCCAACTGAAGCAAAAAAACAAAAATTTAATTCCGTAAACAAACGTCAAGGAAAACGTGTTTCTAATTCCAGAAAAGTCCATCAACAAAAGTAACAGATTACCTCATTACTCTGTACAATGAGTAGTAATCAATTGTAAAGTTTATCTTTCAAAGATTCACGTTTTTTTAATGCTTCTCATGCTATGGAAACACATCCTTATTTATGTTTTTAAAAGTTCATCTCCTCCAGTTCAAAATCATCCAAATATAACTCAGAAACAAATCAAAACAGATTTTAGCTTTCTCCTAGATAAACTCAGCAGAGCTGGACAATTAACTCAATACAATCAATCACCCTAGGGCATCAATTACTTTGATTAATATCAAGAAAATAATCAAGTTTCTAATTATTAGTTTTCAATTATTCCAACTATCCAGTAATTAGAATTATGATTAATGTCATAAAAATCACTAAGTAATAAAAAAATTAGTGTTTGTGGTTATTACTGTTTTCAATTATTCCAACTATCCAGTAATTAGAATTATGATTAATGTCATAAAAATCACTAAGTAATAAAAAAATTAGTGTTTGTGGTTATTACTGTTTTCAATTATTCCAACTATCCAGTAATTAGAATTATGA